TTCGGTGACATTAAAATAACCGGAAAAAGATGTCTTTGATCCTTTGAGTATATAACTGTTTGGTCGCATTTCCTTGGCTAGAAAATATACTAAATAGTGTCTAGAAGTTAATCCATCACCATTTTCCTTGATAATATATTAATATTCATCAAGAACACGTTTCGATCAATTTTCAATTGAGAGTCGAGAGTAATCCGCAATTGCTTTGTTTTTGCTTTAATTTGCTCTGTAATTGGGTTAGAAAACTCACACCACTCTCCTCCAATCAGATGCAAAACTGAAACCAATCGCAACTTTGTCGCCCGCGTTTTCCCGCGCTTTGGGCTGTTTGGTTGTTTTTTCTTTGAGCTTCCATCGGCTGTTTAAGGTATTTTCGTTCCTTCTGGTGGGCCATTGAGAATACTTGGGCTCAGGTTTTACGACAGTCAATCAAAAAGGACTGTATAGGAGGCACCGAATGTTTGACTCAGCTTGAAAAGTTTATCACAACTTTTTTTCCAAGTTTGGCATTTTCAATTCGTCTTGACCTCCATCATGCTCTGCAGTGTTTGTTCCTCCTTGGCCCATTATATCCTTTTGGGTGTGTGTTTTTTAATTGAACGAATGTTTTAAGTTTAAGCAATTTTTGCTCATCCAAAAAGTAAAAGAAGCAAAAACTCGAAACATGGCCAATGTCATTTCTACCCTTTCCTGGAGGAAACTAAAATGGTCGGGAGAGAATTCCACTCGAAAAAAAAAAATTCCCATACTTGGCTTGCTTTTCATCTACTTTTGCTCTCTCTTTTCAAAGGTGACAGCAAAAACTTCCCTTCCTGGTCCAAAAGGCGAACGAGGAAGGAATGGCTCAGTGGGACCGAGAGGAGATCCGGGACAAACCGGTCCAATAGGACCTCCAGGGGATACGGGGTCTCCGGGTCCCCCAGGGAATAAAGGAATATCTGGGAAAGAAGGCTTCCAAGGGGCTAGTGGTAGTAAAGGACTTCCAGGTGATAAGGGATCTGAAGGCTTTACTGGCGACGATGGGCCCACTGGCGCAGAAGGACCCGAGGGACCTGCGGGACCACAAGGGATTGGTAACTTCAGTTGGTGCCAGGAGGAGACAGCTTCGGTCAAGTCCAAGGATATTCCGGGGAAAAAAGCTTCCGTTAGTGACAGTCAGGCGAGTAACCACTGAAGGATGGTTTTTCATGGCTTCACCTCGCTTTTGTTGCGATAGCCACCTTGATTTGAATTTCCGAGGCTTGAAAAAAACATCAAACGAATGACTTAACAATCTTTATGACAGCATCTGTTCTCAAAGCTCTCTAGATTCTCGCACTAAATTCGAACATTAAATTTTCTCCTCAAGATTTCTTCTCTAGAACTAGGATGGAATTCTTTTCCTTATTTCTTCTTTGAAAGAAGCCATCTTCCTTTCAATCTTTTCAGCATTTCAAAATCGCTAAAGGGATTTGTAACTCAGCCTTTTCTATCTCAATTCACGCACGATCGGGAGGCAGATCAGTAAATTATTCACGTGGTTTGTTAATGCCCATGAGTACCTGCGAAATCTTTTCTCCGACGAGATAGACCTCGAAGAGGATTTAAAAATTGTCGGAAACAAATGAAGTTGTTTTCTTTCAAAATAAGCTATTTAACGGGATTACAATTATTCGTTTGTCTGTATCTTCCAGATCCACTCAAATCTTCTTCATTTCATTAGTTTTTGCTCCATGTTTTCTCCGCAGGATACAAAAATTGTGGCAGCGACTTGCACAACGGATTATGGCCAAGAGTATAACCTGGTGGTAACAGAAAATGGAAATCTTAACAATTACGAATGCGTGTGCAAGGGTGTTGGAACAACCACTTCGGGAAAAACCATTAATGATGTGAACTGTATTCTGTATTATTTGGCCTGCCCTATACAAGCTCCGTGATATCTTCATCTCTACGTTTTTTACGGATTATATAATGGACTGGAAAACATGCCAATTGAAATTGTCAGTTAGCAGTATCAAGGACACTCAACCATCGATTCATCAAAGGCATTTCCACTATTTTCCAGAAAAAACGGCTTTATTTGTACGGTTTTATATTTTAAATTTTTTTGTCAGTACGTCCTAATAGTGCTTAGATACAGATTTATTCGAGATTCTGGTAACAGCGAAAAATTGAAGACATTTGTTTCTTCATATGTAACTACAATAAAATTCACTATAAGAATACCGTATTCAAAGAACAGCACAATAGATCTGATACAAAACAGCTGATCACTTTTCGAAACAGTAGAAAGATCCAAATGACTCCCTAAAAATGTAAATAATAAATTAGGAAGGTTCGTTTCAAAATATATAAAATAAAAGGTGAGAACTCCCTACGTGAAAACTAACCTAGAAGTATGCTTGTGAATAAGGATATACCGTATCAGTGAGATAACAACGTATGTAGTTTTATTGAAAAGGAACAAAGCAAGTTTGGTCAGGTGTACAACTACATGTGTTCACATGGACAGAAGTTTATTTGCATGTGATTAAAATTTTCTTTTCCTTTGAAAGAGCGAGCATCAGGCCCTGTTTGTTCGAGCGTTGGATGGATAACGTTACCCACTATGGAAAGCCCTCAACGTTTTCTTAACACTTAGTCGTCGGATAGCGATTTATCCGTTGGATAGCGTCACCCACCAGTTGAGGGATTAGGCCCAGGCCTTTATCTTGAGATGAGGCTGAGGGAAATTTGTCTAAAACTCGTTATCATTTTCACATTTGCGAAGTAGGTAATCTTAACAGAAATTATTCTAAACAATTTGATTGAAAATTAGTTTTTTGTTTTATATTTTTCCCCCACTTTCCTTATGAATTTAACATTCCTTTTTGTCTGCGTCTGAGAGCTAGACTGTCAGCAAGATTACTGCAATTGAAAGCTGATAATTTCTCTTCGATAGCGCAATTTTCATTTGAATGTAGATTGTAGTCCAGGAATGCATTGGTTTTGCTTTACTTTACTCTGTGATTGGTCCGGAAAACTTGATCAGATACAAAGTTAAAACCAATCCTGACTTGGTTGCTTGCGTTTTCCCACTCCATAGGGAAACTTTACTTTAAATTCTTATTAGCTCTTGGAGGTATCATTCCCCACGTAAGAAAAGGTATCTCACGAATTTACGGATTCACGGATTTATTCTGGACACAGATGTCTTAATAGACTGTTTAACTGCCTCGCATAAAAAATATTATTATATGGCAAGGCAGTTCAGAGGTAAAACTGAGCAGCCTGATTGGTTCCTACTTGGTCCGTATCTTGCCATACCGACTGTCTCCACGAGAATGGTCAAAATCCATGTACTTTATTTTTTTCGCAAAAGCCGCCAAATTCAAAATAAACAAGTTTGGTCGGAGTTCCATACACAATAACAAACTGCTGACTTATTTAAATCACTTACTGAAGTCCCTCGCTCGTTTTTGCACTCCCCTCGCCGCGCTAGACGTTCGTTCTGCCACGACCTAAGGCCAATATTCCAAGTATGGCCCTTACGGTCGGTTAGTACCAAGTTATTTTGAAATCACTTGCTGGGGCCCCTCCTCGTTTTTGTTCTCCTCTCGCTACGCTACAATATTTCCAGTCGGTTAGTAACAAGTTATTTTAACCCGCGGAAGATCGTTTCTTAACTTTGTTCACAAAACACAGCGAAGGCGCTAATGACTACGTGCTAACGCTTGAGCTTTACGAACCTTCTACGGTGGCCAATTTGCATTAACAACTCAGTTGATGAAACAATATTATGTTTAATATTTAGATTATAACCTTGGCAGGACCTTCCACAAACGTATAAAGAACATAATGGAGAATTTGCATACTGTAGCTAGTTACTAGTCACTAACTAATACAGACGAATCGTTCAGTCATTTCTTTCTTTATTTTCAACTAAAAATTTTAATATAACAGAAAACTATTCAATTCTACCTCTATGTACATACTCAGACACTTAAGTCTATTTTTACAAGGTATCTAAACAGGACTTATGAATTATATCCTAATAGCCCTTGTGAACTGTTTCTACAAATGTTAAACTTCATAGCTAACTAAACGATCTCAATTCGATACCATATTCTCTATATACAAACACCTCTGGGGTACCTTCTAAGCATCCCCTTGCTTTTCTGAAACCTGCGTAAAATAGTTCAGTTTCCAATGTAAAAAGAAAAACCGTTTTTAACACGTGTTTTGTTTTTGTAAGTATGTTCGTCTATTCTGGAGTTTGTCTGCATTGCTGCATCTACAGAGATTCGTGTTGTAAAAAAGGAGCTTGCATACCACGCACATTAAAATACTCTATACAATTTGTTAATGGAAACTGTAACCACAAAAGATGCTTCTGAGTTCCTTACTAAAGAATGCTACGGACCTCTTTGTGTTAAAAAATACATCCTCTGATAAAATTCGAATTCAAATAAAACTCCTAGTTGACATTTAGGCCGATAAAACATTATATCTGTTAAAACTAACAAACTAACCAAAGCAGACTACGTTGACTCGCCCTAAGAGATAATCTTAAAGTGGTTGTGTCATCTAATAAATGTACTTAATGTTTTAGTATACACATTTACTATAAACTTAAATAAAATACGCGAATAAAAATTGCTCCTCAGCATGTATGCCTGCATACAGTCTAAGTACCTTGTAAACAAGTTGCAGATAAAAACGCAAAAAACATCAAGTGAGAAAATTAGTATGCTTGTAACTTCATTACCGTGTGTCAACGAATTAATAAGCATATCTAGAGCAACTTTTGATCGAGTTTCGTAACACCAAATCTAAGGTAATTGCAGCGAACAATCAGAACTGAGCAAAGGTCCACGAAGAATCAACCACAACGAAAAGCAAAGGATACACGAGGCTCGAAGCGCTGGAAAACGGAAGTATTTGGACAGGCACTTGATTGGTTCAAAAGGAAGCGTGGGTTTTTGAGATTGAGATTACACAGATTACTTTTGATACTCGGTTGACATCTCCTCTAGAACTTCCGTAAATCAACATTTATAAATAGCAACACATGAATAACAACGCAATTGATAACACAATTGCTTTAAAAGTTACGTCATGACTCACCCGCAATGCTTGAGGAGATTTGCATGATGTACGTTAGTATGCAAAACTTTATGTTCCACATTGTTTAATTTAGTTAAAAGCGTTAAAATAAACAACAACAAATAAATAAATTGAAACTAAGAAAGCGAAAAACAATAAAGTCAAGATCTGAAGGTGTTAAAAGAGAATGATTAAAATGAAAACGACGTTACTCTACATTATATTTCCTTTCGATTACCTAACAGCTTCCTCTTTAAACTGATAAGAAAACAGTATTCCTCGTTTCAGATTAACCATTTTCACTGATGATAAAAACCGAAATTAACTTCTTTTTCTTTGGGAAAATAAAGCCTTCACCTAGGCTTTTTCTTTTTATCATATTGCGAAACTCGTATTTTCAAATTCTTATGAGCTGTAAATCTTATTTGAAATAAAGCTTCATTCAATTCTTCTATTGTGTTTATTTAAACCAAAAGCCACTAGGCAGTGATAAAAGTGAAAGACACTAAAATTTTAACTAAAGGATTGAAGGCTCATACTAAAGCGATCTTCCAGCCGTGTGCTGTATTAAGAAAGTCGCGTCGACAGTCGCATACATGCGCATGCGCATACATAACACTGATGTCGTTTAGTTTGTCAAAGCCATATTATCTGGACGATGATATGGCTCACGCTTAGTCTCCCTTGAGAAGTATTCTTCGAAAGTTCAGAACGGCAAAAGATATCTGACCATGGCAATGAGAGAAGTTTGAAAACTTTGAAATTTACATAACAAAAATATACTTCTATAGCTAATACCAGTGAATCTAAGGGTTATGTGATATCATTTATGTTGTCAATGGGCACTCCCAGTAGTGCAGGATGCATTTCACCGAACCGGTCGAATCTGTGAACAGCGTAGACAGCCCCTTGCAGGTACAACGGTAACGATATTTCCCTGCGAAGGAGGGGTCCGTAAGTTTCTCTATGTCTAAATTGTATTCCGCTGCCCGATTAGTGGAACACGAGACACCCAGAATCTTCTTACCCTAAAAATAGCAAAAATGATATTAACAATTAAGAAAAAAAAGGGATAATAACGACATACACAACAGCAAAGAAAAGAAGAAGAAGAAATATAAATGACTTTAAGTAAATGATCAAAAGTTAAAGGAAACGTTGCAATCAATATATAATTATCAAAGAACGTTTTGCTATTAATAAGTTGTCCACTCTTCCTGTCTGTGAATCATTTGCTTGATCAGTGTACGAGTCGTTTCTTGCTTGTTATTTTCACGGGAAATTGATTTCACGAAAATGAAACGTGCAAATTTCACGGGAATTTAATTGCAATTTGGCCATAAATTTATATCAAATGGACCTGAATTTCGCGAAAATTGTTTAAATACTGATCTGCATTAACGAACAATTAGTCTCAGAATTAGCACAACTGATCTAAATGTTCCATAACAATAGTTTCCAATTACACTGACCAAAACCGTTTTATATCAAAACGCGACTAAAAACAGTTTGACAAGTTCTTTTGCAACGATGCAGAGCTCCACAAAAGTACATGACAACGTCTATTTGAGAACATTGGTCGAGACAATTTCGCAGTAAACCGACGTTGACGTTGGTTAAAGAGTTATATAGCAGGGTAATGAATATCGCGAAAACCTTCTTTACGCGATTCTTCTATTTCGCAAATTTTTGACAACTGCGAAAATTAAGTCATGCGAAAATATGTATCAATAAGGTTTTACGATTGATACAAGTTTCAAAAAGTGGGTACTTACATTCGGTTCAATTAACGGAACTTTTACTGACGTGAATCTATTAGCTGTAACTGATTGGTACTCAGAGCGATATGCACACTGACTGAAGTTCCCGGCTCCAGGAGGCCCTTTGGGGCCCGGGGGTCCGGAAGGTCCCGCGGGTCCTACAGGCCCTTGTGGTCCTTTATCACCCTGTGGTCCCAGATCTCCCTTTTGGCCATTAACACCATCAGTACCATTCCTTCCCGGGTCCCCTGCGTCACCTTGCTGACCCGGGGGTCCTTGCGCACCTGCATTTCCCTTGGGCCCTTCGTTACCTGGAGCACCTGGAACACCTTTGGACCCATTGAATCCGGGGGAGCCTATCGGTCCTTGTAACTTGCTGATGCTTTGAATCTACAAGATAAATAGTCAAGTGCAACCATCAGTGACACAATCAGCCATTTTATTTGCTTTGACCGCTTCTTGACGTCATCTGTGATCTATTAGAGAACTTAAGTAGAGACTCTTTTGAGACGCAACCGGCAACTGGATGAAGAGTAAAACTTAAGTGACTAACACACTTTGACGCCAGTGTATCGACAGTGAGGTCGTCGTTTTAGCAATTTAAGCCAAACTTGGCTGCCCAGAAAAGTTTAATTATCATTAGTAGTGAAAAATTTTAAATTCCGACTGCTGTTAGCGTCTCAAAAACGTTTGTGCTTAAGCCCCCTCATAACTGAACAGACGCACAGATGACGTCGAAATGTGGAAGGAAAAAAAGGTAGTACACGAGGAACAGCCGGAAAATATTTTTCAAATATTGCTCCAAGTAAACCGATGATTAAATTCGGAAATTCGTCACTGTCCATATTTTAGAAATCTGCAATCATTCTAACGAGAATATTTTTTCTGCGTTGTTTTATGATATTTAACCTCATTTATTGGCCATACCTCTCAACCAATGAGCATATCACGAATTTCTATATTTATTGAGTATGCGTTTTTAACTTACGTGTGAGGTTAAGGAGCTATTAATAACATCCAGAGAACTTTTTAAGGAGCTATCAGCATCAGACAGGCTTTGAACTGTGTTGTTTAACTGCAAAATGAGGAGTCTAAACATTAGGTGAAAACATTATGTTGTATACTAAATTACTTATTACAGAACATACATGAATGTCTAAAACTCTTAACAGCTGATGGTGTCTGTATTATGCATGCAGATCTATCTCCTTCACCCTTGATCTGACGGAATGACTCTTGAGGAAATATTTTAAACAATAATTGTCTCCCGTTTTAATTGTGCTTATTCAGTTTTCTTTTACTTATTGGCCAAAAGTAGTCCCAAAGTAATAGCAGAACTCAAATCTACATATCTTTTCAAATTGTTCTTAACCACGGCAGAATTTAATTTTTTTTCCAGCTGAAATATGTGGAATGATGGTAATACAATTATTCAAAATATTTATTTTGTATTGTATTTGTACTTGGCAGACAAGCCTTACCTTTGTGATGAAAGTCGTCTCCAGAGATACCAGCTCATGGTGGAAACTTTCATTGACAACACTAACAGATTTATCAAGCTGTTGACTGATGTTACTGATCTGTAAAAAAATTAATTTGTCCATTAGAACTTTTGGGGAGACATGCAGGTGGGTTTTTTTTTATTACTGTGCTACAAAATAAGCAGATTAAAAACAACCAAATATAAATTTGAATCAAGCAGTCTGTGTCCAGAGCCTTGATTTGAAGGCTGTTGCATGGGATATATTTTTATTCAAGTGGTGAAATGAAATTTTAGCAACCAAGCACAATTGTAAAAATTAACTGCAGTGATTGAATTAAAAACTACTCTTATTTTCTGAATGTAGGAAAAAATCTTTGATCCTCTTAGATGCTGAGTAAATATTGAATTTAGTATACCTTATCTATAGAGTCTTGCATTCCACTTTTTATCTGCAAAAGTCCATCTTTTGTCTCACTGACTTTATCTCTGGTTTCATTTAAATTGCCTCTTGTATTGTGAAGATCGTGCTGAAGAGTTATCTGTGGAAAGATCAAGGGCATGCAATTTGTTTATAGTGACTGCCTGAAATAATAATTCATTAAAAAAATAACCATTTACAGTGGTGTAGAAATTCAAAATCTGATATCAAGTAATAGTTATGGTAAACATGACTTTGGGAATGTCTGCCAAAAAAGGTTCTGTCAGATGTGCAAAATAAAAAAAAAAAAAGTTAGAGCAGAATGTAGCAGCAAGTATAGGAATGTCAGAGAACAATTATGGACAGTTTAACAATGTGATCAACCAACAAGCAACATTTTTTGGGGAAACCTGTCATATATCACCAAACATTTTCAAGGCTTGGGCTTGTTTTTTTGTTTTTTTTAATCTCAGTCATGACTGACCCCATATTGAGCCCTTGATAAGTACACCAAATTTTATCCACCAACCCTCTTAATCTTCCTGCATTAGTTAAGTGGTCCTGTCTGTGCCCACCGAGCTCCTTCCCTTAATGGTTTGGTAAATGTACATATCATAAACCTGTTGCATTTCTTATCGTACCATAAATTTTTTTATCATCGAGATATTGGCTTTAAGTTGGTCGATCTTGTCCTCCAGTGATGAGATATCAGGTGGCGAAACTGACAGGCCCACTTCACTTCTGCTTGAGGGTGCACCACCTTTCACTTCCTGCCCACTTGGCACTTCTAATGAGAAGAGGGGAAGATCCATTGTCAGTATCACATAAAGTACATAGAAATAAGTTCAAACAACCAAGGGAACAAATGCTGTCAGTTGATTGATGGCAATACCAAAGAGTTCAAAGAGGTGAGGTCCAAGAATGCTTGGAGAGCAACTTTTCAAGCAAGAAAGAGTAATTCCGTAAAGACTGGTATGAGACCCAACAGCTACTTTTGATCTCTCAAAGTGAACAAAAGGTACCAGAAGAACAATTAATGCTTATTAATGGAATAAACTTTCAGAAAGTCAAATAAAATATCCCTATAGAAGGCTGACTACTATGTAGGAACATAATGTACTGGTATATTTAGATCGTTAATATAACTCTCTGTTATAAATTGAAAATATTTGTCAATATAGATTATCACTTTTAAATAACACTTTTTCTAAACATTACATTCCAATTCAAAACATTCTAGGTCATAGTGAAAAGACCGTGGGAATTTTTCTATGAGTAATTATTTTTTTAAGTGCTGAATTTGGATTTGCATACCTAGTTCAAACAGGTTAACATGAGAAAAAAGAATGAGGCTTGTATGTTAACGGTTAGTAGTAATAAATTTAGGAACTAACACAAATTCAAAGCTCTTTCAAATTTGTTGAAGTTGGCACCATGACACGAAAAATGTTAAATTATTAATAGTGTTTCTAGAATGTCTCAAATGTTGGTAACTCAGTTAAAAACCATCTAGTCAGTCCCTTGTAGAATATAGCCATTAAATGCTTGGCAAACAATTATTGAGCCAACAAACGCTGTTTTTTTTTTGCTTGAGAAAATAAACGTGTACAGTTAACATTGAGAACTAATATAGATCACTTTCATCTTAATTTGCATAAGCATGCCAACGATTTCTGCGTCACATAATCAAGTGGATGTATTGTGACGCTCAATCAAAACACATTCGAAATCAGTAAGGCGTGACACACCATTCGTCCGAAGAGTGCAAAGTCAACATTGATCGAGGGAAATGATATTGCGAACCCTTAAACTGAAAAGCACGCTCTCTGTTTATGAAGTGTTTAGTTTCGGTTAAAGTAAAATTCTTTGAAGTTGAAATCCCTTTGTTTACGACAGCGTGAAGTTGCAAAACACTTAGGCATAACAAATCTCAATTGTTCCCGCTGAGTTTCGACATCGTCGATTCATCTGTAATTGACACGTAACATTCCGTGCTTAAAAATGTTGCCCAAGATTTGGTTTCCTTAACCGATAACCAGCCATAAGGGATTAAAACAAAAACAAAAAACAAAAAAAGATAGATTACAGACATCAATTAGTCGTCCAACACGCTTGACTCGCCTGGAATGTTCACTGAGGTGATTTCTATGGTAACCAGCCTTTAAGCTAACACTTCACAGTTCTAGTACGTGCGCTGACTAAAAATAAGCATACATTATTTAAAATGCCAGACCACTGTAGTCTCATCGTCTACAAGCATTAAGAGGAAACTATCCTCGAACGTACCCCGAAGTTTTTCATTTTTGTTCAAGGGACACTTGCTCTTACAAGCTGCCGTAAGTTATCAAGGACATTTTCACATCGAGCACGTGGTCGCTTCTCTTACCTTTTAAGTCTCCTTTTTCCGGGTTACACGCGCAATTTCGCTCGACGATAAGGCCAACTTTGCCAAACATTAAAAGTACCACCAATATTAACGCCGTCACCGAAGTAAGAAGAACAAAAAACAAAATACAACGGTTTAAACAAGATTCTTTTGAAGGTGTGTCCGACAGTTCTGAACAACTTGAATCATCTCTCGATCTGACCCGTAAATTCTTCAGTGGTATATGCGGCTCGTACATATCGTTATAACGTTTTCGATGTCCTGTATTCCCTCCTCCTTGTAAAACACGAACTTGTTCGTTGATAACCGTAGGATCTTCATAATGATGAGATTTTTCTTCGTCGATCTCTCGGCGGGGATTGGTTAGTAAACTTGTTTGAGAGTAGGACAATCGCGGAGACTCAAACCTCACTTCGCAACTGTCTACAGCGTTCGGGGTAAAATCACGATTTGGATATAACGCAAAACCTGTCGACATCTCAGTATGTACGGTTAACTGTTCCAAAAAGCTAACTTGACTAAAGCCACACGAACAGACCCGATTCTAAAACCTTAATAAATACTATAAACAATACAATACCTAACTCCCACGCTAGCATACTAGTGAATGAGTAATTCAATAGTGTGTTTTGCTACGCGCCAAAAAGGAAGCACGTTGATTGGTTTATGATTCCATGAGAGCACGTTCCACGCATTTACCAGTCAAGCCTATTATTTATTCTCACACGTCAATGACCTGTCTAGTAAAAGTTCCGTTTGCTAAAAATTCTCGTACACGGACAATCAGTATCAATTTCCCAATTTGAACCACTGTTATGACATGACCTCTTGGTTTTTCGTCAGGGAGCGTCCCGCAAATACCAACATATGACACGAAAATAACTGTTAGATTTCATCCCAGAAAACTCCACATACGGAGGAAGGAAATTGTGCCACGTGACTGATTTGTTCTTCAGCGAAAGATCGCCGAAAATGATACTCGGTAGAAAAGACCGAAATAAGTTTGAAACGCGAAAAATTGGATGCACAGATATGAAATTAGATAAAATTGGATCCACAGAAACGAAATTATTTCAATCAAAATTACAAAAAATACAGCACAATCTGGCACTAAAGTAACTGTACAAGAAAAATATAAACAGATAAATAAAGAAAGGAATATGAATATGTATTTAGTCTTCTCATATTTGGTAAAAACCATGACGAAGGAGAGCTAGTTTCGCTCGCCCGAAATGCCGCCCACGTTTGTGCATTTTTCTTCCACAACGTTTATTTTTAAAAAACCGGAAGATTACTTCTCAATGGTAAGCGACACTAAGACTGTAATTGTAAATTTCATGATTCCGCTAAAATGCGCGATAATTTTGTAACTTACATCACTCTGGAGCCTGTAAATCCTTAACAAGAATTCTAGGTGAGGCTATCATTCCGAGGTTGGGCCCACCCTGAGGTCACTTTGGAAAAAAAAACCGAAAAAATATCTGGCTTGGTTAATATTCTCTCTTTGTCATGTCACGGCTACTAATTTCCCCAGAGGAAATTGGAGATTAATGAGGGTGTAGATTATCTTTTAAGCAGTTGGCCATACATCGGAAGGCTTTCTGGTAAAGACCTGTTTTCTTTCGCTTCGACTTTCACTTTATCTATCAACTTGATAGTTAGACAGGAAAAACTTAGGTGAGCGGTCTTTTTGCTCGCACAAATGTGCTCAACTCGAGCAGATTTCGAATTCTAACCTAGCTATCAACAACCACAAGCTTGCAAACTCCTACAACACGTGATTTTTACAGCAGGGCTGAATGAAGTGCCTTCGAAGTTTCGTTTATACTAATTCAAGATTATATGGTAAGCTATTAGCATGTACCGTCAAAAAGTTGCATTTGTATCAAATTATTCAGATCATGTATTTTTCTTAAAGCCAGTCTTAAAATAAAATAGAATAGTTCTCATAAGAAATTTATAAATATATATTTTTCAAAGAGTAGCAAACTCCTTCTTACACTGAATTGTTTCTAAGTCACTGAGTTATACATGAACAGAAGCATATGTTTATGGAACATGCGTAAAAGCACGCGTTTACTGAAGGCCGAACGCATTCCTAGAAAAGCCGATGGGAATTAAGATTCTCTGCTCAGCCTGTTTCACTTTCATAAGCAAAGTAACACGCTTCGTGATCAGTGATTCCGGTCCTCAATTCGACCCTCAGGGCTTGGGTATAATTGTCTTAGGGTTCCTAGGTGGAAGAGGGTTGATTTGGGAAGAAACAAAAAACCCGATACGAGAACGCATAGCTCATGTGGCGGTCCGTGGAAATTTTCTGACGCGGAAAACAGGTCGAAGCAACTGTCGTAATTCTTCATTTAAAAGATTTTGTAATTGGCCGGCTTCTGAACGGTGACGCAATCATAGCGCTGTTGAACGATTATCTCACAACATAAATTGGGACACGAAATGAAAGGGACCTCAAACCGGAGATATGACATCTCAGCTGAATCAAAGTATTTATTCCATTGAGCTAAAAATGCCTCTCCAAATAGGAAGTTGTTATGAGGAGTCATTTGCTTTAAGAAGGGTTAGTGAATTCTTGCAGATTCCGAGACAGTAATAAACAATTCCGCTTAACAACTAAGAGTGCTGCAGGGTTTCACAACAATGAGAGGAAAGTGCAATGTTACAATCACTGTTCCCTACTTTGCATTCGCCGGCTTTTGCCGGATGATATATCATCGACAGATCCAACATCGGAATATTTTTAATCGGTGGCGATTGTGCGGTATTCGGTCTTTTCTGCGAACTGGTCATAACACGTCGGCTTATCGATCCGAGTTTTCAGCGAAATGGCAGTCGGCGAATCGACGGTAAATCGATCGTAAACAGACTTTGGTGGCCTAACATAGACGCTTCTACTTCTCGTTAGTTTTCGAGAGCGACCCTCGATCATAAGACAAATTTTGCACTTTTAGAGCTCTGACAGAGTGCGAGGCTTTGATTTCCTTTTGAGACCGCAATAAAACTTAATACAAATAGAAGACTGAAAACTCACTGCAAAAGATAAGAAAATTGAATATGAAATTTTTGACTCAATACGTTTATTCTACATAACATCTGCACCACCTTGCAGGTTCAGTAAGACTGACAAGGGCTACTTTTGAGGGAATATATATTCAGTGGATCGTTTGGCTCGGCAGTGGATGAAAGAACGCGGAATAATCTCTATGCGTGTTAAGTCCAAGGTCTAAATCAGTATTTAGTGGCTCATTTGACTTGACAGAGGGCCAAACGAGTTAAACGAGTCGGCTAGTTTGGGGCATGGTTAAAAGTGGCGCTGTATACTGTAATTTAACCGAGTTCCAAGTCAGCTCTGGCTAAGATCTACAAATCGATGAAACCACCAATCTCCCCGAATCTCTTTCGTAATTCTGTCTTCTAAGATGTCATGTATTTCTTTATAAGCTAGTTGAAGGATTTGAGAGTTACATAGGTTGGACACCTTTTTCCCGCTGATTAATAAAACTGTTTATGACACCCTTTTGTTGGCTAATGTATTGAAAAATTATAAATGGTGGTTACGGTATATTTTTCCAAGGCCCCATTTATATAATCTTGGGTACCCGAGACAGCCTTCCCCCCGAGGTATCCTGGGCGAGCTAACTTTTCACTTATTTCTTTACAAAAAAAAGTCGTGTGAGTTATAGCCTTGGGTAGATCATGTTTTTGTTCATCCATGGAAATGGGAAAAGGTGGTTTGCCAAAACCATATTAAATAAAAAACCATGACATAAAATTTCATCCTGCAAAAAAGTTATTTCGCATGGAGTTCTCTATAACAAAACAATCGTTATATTAAATATAGTTCGCGCAGTTTCCTGGTTTGAATTATTAAGGACGTTAATGCGATGTACATTTTAGGCACGAAGATAATATTTTCTTAAATTGTTTGTTAACTTATAAATTTCATATTGATTTCACCGAGTCTCTTGATGAAATTGGCTCCTTTTTTTAGAAGAATTGAAGCTAAGAAAGTATAAACATTTCTGTTTACCTCTGCAGAAGATATGTAGCATAGTTTGAAAAACTTAAAAATGTTCAAATTTTTAAATGCCAGCGCTGTGTTATTTTGTTGCCATTGAAACCGCAAAAATTGCCCTTTTGAACTGCAACATTTCATTACGATGATTACCAAGAAAGATTTGAAATAAGCTTTTCTGCCATTTATTACATTTTTTTTCCTTTTTCTTATCATATTTATAATGCTGAATTTGCTGAAAAATCTTTGGCTTCGTTAAACCTATAACAACATAGTAGCTGCTAAAATTCCTAAAGAAGTTGCAGCGACGCGACTTAACACAAATTTCTTAGAAACTTCAAGGTCAAACAAAGACTGATTCATTGTTTGTGAAGATCTGTCTTGGATTAGTTCAATTGTCCAGTGATAAAGAAACTAGTTATCCATCGGATTGTCATGGGATTAGAACATTGAATTGACGCACAATTCATCGAAAGATTTCTTTGTATAAACTTTAAACAAAATGCCGATAGAAAATGAGTCTGTTCATGTCTTTTGTAGCTAAAAAAAGGCGATGACAAAATTCATATGGATGGAAACTGGGAAGGCTTTTTTTATGCGATCATTTCGTATCCTCGTTTTCTTTGTAATAGAGATAATTATTCCTCTCTCGAGTTACTGAGTAAAGAATTAAAAAATGTAAAGTATTCAACGGGAAATTTACCGTCTGATGATCAAAACAACATGGCTTACGAAAGTAAAAGAACTTGCATTAGCACTTTTTGTAAAATGTTGCCGATGAAACATCCAATTTTTGGAAGTACTACGAGTTAAGTGTAAACGAAAAATGATCGTATAAAGTCTTCATTACGAGTACACGCACAAGTTAGAGCTGCTTTCAGAACAATAACATTCCCAGCTCTATTCAACAAGTTTCAAAACACTGACTTCGCGAAATAAAGTCACAACTGATGAAAATTGTTTTAACAGCAAAAACTTAAAACCAGCCGCTTACCTTGAGCAGAATTCTTTTTACAAGAGCAGCTTGGACCAACTTTGCCAAGAATGATTAAAACAACCATGAGGAGTGATACGAGCGAAACTATCAAAATGAGAAATAAGATCAACCGACTCAGCAAGGAATCTCCACCGATGTCGGCTTCGTTGTAATCCACCCCTTCTTCTTCTGGTTCTGTCGGTTTTCTCAGTTCTGTTGGCTCATATAACTCATTGCGCTTCCTTCGAGCGCCCCTATTTATCGATTGCACCTCTAAGAGTCGAGTTGGGTCTTCATATTGGTGAGAAAGATCGCCGCAATTCTCATACGCAGGATTTTGATAGCTGCCTTTAAAAGAACTCAGCTCCTGACCCCCAGAGCCATCTTCTACGCTGTCCACAGCATACGGACTGAATGCTCGAGGTTTTGGCCGATTACTATCATTTTGAGCCATGTTCTGAAATTTAGAAAAGTCTTCTGAAGACATACACAAGCTAAGCGGCTGTCAAATCTGAAAGTATTACGCCGAAAATTTTAAGGATGAATGAACAAGTGACTATGCAAATATTTGACGGAATGTTAACAAGACCGAAGAGGCACTGGATTGGTCCCTTCGATTGGTGGGGTTTGTCTCGCCCTGATATCGTAATGAAGCGTATTGTTCAATCCTCGGGGGTGGAACAAAAGATTCATTTAGTAAAGATATAGCAATCTCCTGAATTAGAAAAAAAGTCTTCCTGTAGAAGATTTTTTTTTATGGAAGTTATGACAGTCAGAGATCCGTGACTGTAATGTAACGATAGAAACCCCGATTTTAATCGCTTGTCGACCCGTGACATTTTGAGTGATCTAGGGGAAAACAATATTTCTCCTTCGCAAAATCCATGGCAATAATTTGTCACATACTTGACTGAAAATATAGCGCCAAAAACTGCACAAGTTGTACAGTTCTTAAAATCAGAATTTTCCTTCTTGCCTAACGTGGCTTTGCTGTGATGTTTTGT